GTCCACTGAGCTACACCAGCCAGGGCCTCCATAGTTTTCAAAATAGACTTAATATATTTGTACCTCAGTTTTGCTGATAAAAACTTTATCCAGAGGATATGTGGTCAAGTTGGAGGCATAGGTACACATGCTTCGCCTCCTCACTCAACCACAGAAAGCATTACAACTAGACCTCAAAACAAATAACAACCAGAATTGTCAGAAAATTGAGCTGTATGGAAGTCCAACAACCAAGGATTTAAAGAAGCCACATTTGTCCAGACAGGTAGGAGCAGTGGAGACAGTATAACATGGAGAGGCGGAATGGGTGGTCCCACATTCACATGTGGTAGATAAAAATTGGGATGGATACCTTGGGAGCCAGTGATCGCAGTCCCAGACCAGACCACACAGTCCAAGTTTCCTATACCAGGAAGATAAATCTCTATAACTTCTGGCTATAAAAACCAGTGAGGGGTTGAGGCTGCAGAAGAAACTATCAGATATGCAGGAGACTCTGCCAAAAGGACCCACATGGATGGAGGATGTACACAAACGTACCTCCATGCAATTGAGCACCAGGACAACAGCTGGAAGGGCGCCAGTCACATATGGGGAGTAAACAAAGTTACTGGAAGCAGGGAGAGTGCCAGACAAACCTCCAAAAGCCAGGCAACCACATTATTGCCTCTCTGAGGCTTATCCACCCTGGTGATTACCTAAGGCTCCACCTCACACAATTTATAGGTGCCTTTTCTACAATAGGCCAGACTACTAAGATGGAGTCAAAGTAGCTCTACCTAATGCACAGAAACAAACTCAGGGAGGCTGCCAAAATGAGGAAACAAAGAAGAATGGCCCAGAGGAAAACAGCAAAACCTCAGCAAAAGAGCTAAACAAAATAGAGATAACCAACCTATCAAGATGCTCAAAGAACTCACTGAGTATAGCAACAGCATTAAAAAAGACCCAGGAAGAAATAAAGTTTACATTAAGTGAAATAAAAATCTGCTGGGAACCAACAGTGGAGGGGATGAAGCAGATGTTCAAATCAACAATTTGGAACATAAGAAGTAACAAGCATTCAACCAGAACAGCAAGAAGAAAAAAATAAGGATACTATAAGGAGCCTCTAGGATGTCTCCTAATGTACCAACATCCAAATCATAGGGATGCCAGAAGGAAAAGAGGAAGAGCAAAAAATTGAAAACTTCTTTGAAAAATTGAGAATACATCCCTAATTTGGTAAAGGAAATAGACATACAAGTCCAGGAAGCACAGAGTCCCAAACAGACTGGACCCAAAGAAGACCACACTCAGACACATCATAATTAAAATGCTAAAGCTTAAAGAGAAAAATTTTAAAGCAGGAAGAGAAAAGCAGAGAGTTACCTACAAAGGAGTTCCCATAAGACTGTCAGCTGATTTCTCAAAAGAAGCTTTACAGGCGAGGACAGACAGGCAGGAAGTATTCACAGTGATGAAAAGCAAAGACCTACAACCTGGATTACTCTATCCAGCAAATCTATCATTTAGAATGGAAGGGCAGATAAGTACTTCCCAAACAAGGTAAAGTTAAAGGAGTTCATCATTATCAAGCCATTATTACATGAAATGTTAAAGGGACTTACTTAAGAAAAAGATCAAGATAAAACCATAAACATTAAAATGCCAACAAATTCACAACTGTCAACAACTGAATCTAAAAATACCAACTGAGGAAATAACAAAAACAAACAGAATCATAAACATGGAGATCATTTGGAGGGTTATAGGCTGGGAGACAGAACGTGGAGGATGCGGGGAAAGTATAGGGATGAAGAAGACTAATTGGTAGGGAGGAAATCAATGGAGAGGTTAAGAATAGTATAGGAAATGGAGAAGCAAAAGAACTTACATACACGACTCATGGACACCTACTAGGGGGTGATTGCTAGAGGGAGTGGAGGTAGCAGGCAGAGGGATGTAAAGTGGGTGGGAAATTGGGGCAACTGTAGTAGCATAATCAATAAAATATTTTTAAATGAGAGATCCCAAAACATTTTTATCCAGGTTTACCTGTTCAAGAGTGAGGCCATAACTTTATTTTTAAATAACACACTTCTTGCCTTTTGCACTGTTTAAAGTTTTATATTGGAAAGGGCAAGCATTATATAACGAGTAAGAATGCAGAATTGGGAATCAGACTGCCCAAGTTTATGATCTGGTTCTTTCACTGTCTAGTGGTGTGACTGGAGAAATTACTTAATTTTTTTGTTATTTTTCGCCTTAAGTAAAGAATGGGCAGTAACAGTACCTATTCCTTGGAGTTGTTGTGTTATTTATTCCATACATGTAAAGCATTTAGAACAGCACTTGGCACCATAATATGTTCAGAATGGTGTGATACAGGCTAGAGAATTTGTCAGAAAAGAGCTGTGCCTGGGAGTTAGCAGTAAGTTAATGATACAGGCCTGTGATTAGCTCTAGAAGAATGTGTATTTAGGTGGGATAATAGAGTAGGGGGACGAAGGAGTTTTATGAGAAAAGGATGGGAAAGGAGCTTCAGTAGGAAATTTCAGAGCCAGGAGTTGGCATTCTTTGGGGGGAACTGAAAGAAGCGTGGGTCTAACCGGATCTAGACTAACAAGGGGTGGGTTGAGGCATTAGACCTGGCACCTGTTCTGTTAGGTAACTTCACGAAGGGGGTCTTCGTAGGTGTATTGACTTCATAGTGGAGTGCACTATGAAAACAGTGCGGAGCCCAGAAGGGAAGGTGTGGTGGCTTGTACAGTGATTGAGAGATTGGGTCAATCTGAGAAGCTTTAAAGCAGTTGGTAAATATGGATTTTACCTGAAGATAGGAGTGACAGAGAACTTTGAGTCGGTGATGGAACTCTTCCTTAGGACAAGGTTAATGCTAAAGTAATAATTGGTGTTGAAGGGAACTGATATAACTGATACTCAATCCTGGATCATTGGAACCGTGGTTAGGAAGGTTCTTTTCAAACCAGTTACTTAATTTGGTAAGAGTCAGGGTTTTAGTGTTCTGCTTAAGTTTATGTGATTACCCTCATATGCAAGCTAACTTACAGAACAAGTAATAGAAACTGTTTCATAGTTAAATTACTCCCTCGATTAGGTTCGCAAAACTCTACGCACAAACTTCAACCCTGACCCTTACCATTCTTTACCATAATTATGGTACTTACAATCTCCTAAATTTCTTTAGTTTAGTGACCAGATCTGTGTGTTTGTTCCTGCATAACTATAATAAATACTTTATAAATGTTTGTGGGGTGAATGACTTGAGAGAGTGCGTGGGTATACGATTTGGGTCATGGCATAAATCATGTTCTGACTTATGAACAGTGCTGGCTTTTCATTGGGGGTTGTTTTTAGTGAAAATTTATTCATCTGGAGTGTCATGGGTGCACAAAATTTGACAGTGTAGTTTTACTCTATAGCATTCTGTTAGGACATGAGGGATCCCTTCTCCTCTTTCCCAACCATATGGACGATGTACTTAGTAACTCTGGTGTCAACTCAGGCTGTAATGCTTAGTGGTTGCAACAGATTCAACATTTCTCCAAAGGAAAATATCAAAGCTTGATGAAGCACCTCGAATGATAATAATTTGGCCGTCATTATTCTGCCCCTCAGTGGGCTGCTCCACTGACCTTTTCTGTCTGACCAGCAGCCAACCAGTTTTCGATGAGCTGGTCCCCTCACCCGGTGCTGTTGCAGCATTCTTGAGAGATGTGGCAAGTCACATCACCTGACTTCTGTATGAAGATGAAGCCTTTCTTCAGATTTCTTGTCGTTGGCCCTGGTGTACAGCTTTCCATCTGACTGTCTTGTTCCACACCTCAGATGCCTTTACGCCCTAAGTGGGTTTGTCTTCTCCCTGCACCCGAGGTTCCCTAGCCACCATTCAGACCTCTGCCTCTTGACAGAACAGCTGTTAACTTCAATACTTTGTTCTTATGCTTTTCTAAAACTTATTTATTTATTTATGTATTGCTGGTTAATTTTAGAGAGAGAAGAGACATCAGTTTGTTGTTCCACTTATCGATATACATTTATTAGTTGATTCCTGTAGTGCCCTGACTTGGGATCCAACCCACAACCTTAGGGTTGGGTGGTGTATCAGGATGACACTCTAACCAAGCATCCTGCCCAGCAGGGCTATTTTTACTTATTCTTACCTTTATATTTTTTTTTAAGGTTTTATTTATTTTCAGAGAGATAGGGAGGGAGGGAGAAAGAGAAGGAAACATCAGTGTGTGGTTGCCTCTTACACATCCTCAACTGGGGACCGTTCCTACAACCCAGGCATGTGCTCTGACTGGGAACTGAACTGGCGACCCTTTGGTCTACAGGCCGGCATTCAGTCCACTGAGCTACACTAGCCAGGGCTATTTATTCTTATATTTTTAATAATACTCAGTTTCTTCTTGTCTGCCATTTGATTTTGATAACCATGTTTGTTGGTTGGTTGGTTGGTTGGTTGGTTGATTGGTTGGTTTTTTAAAGGACAAGCCTCTTAAGCCAGAAATACTGTATTTAAAAACTACCTTTTTCATTCTCAGGGAATAGTATTTTATTAAGTGTTTTAAATACCAGTTCATAAAATGTGACTCAGTTTTTTATTAACATGTGTATATAGTTTTTAAAACCCATCTGGAATTTTTGCCTCCGAATTCTAGAGTCGGATGGAACTTTTTAATGATACCCATTCTTTGCTTGATTACACAGTTTGGTTGCTGTTGTGGTCTGCTGCTAATAAATAATAGATTTTGGGGTGTCCTGACATTTTGGGAACGGATCTGTATATCCAGATAATGACTCAGTGTCTGTGCTTGAAGAAAAAAGGGTACCAGTAATTTATTGCCTTTTTTTTTTTTTTTTTTTTTTCATTTTAACAAAGTACTATTTGTAAAAGAAATCAGAATATTAGTTCAGGGAGTAACCCTGGATCTATTTCTTCAAATATTTCCTTCATTGATAACATTTATCACTATTTTTTGTTTTCTCTACAGACCTCAGCTGTTAAAGAATGCCCTGCAGAGAGCAGTAGAGAGAGGCCAGTTAGAACAAATAACTGGTAAAGGTGCTTCTGGAACATTCCAGGTGAGAGGCCAAAAACACTTGGTTGTAGTGAAGTTCTCAAAAGCTTTGGTTTCAGGACCTCCTTATGCTCTAAAAATTTATTGAGGACCCCAAAAACTTTTATTTATGTGGGTTATACCTATCAATATTTATCATTTTAGGAATCTAAACTGAAGAAAATATTAAACATTCAATTCATTTTAAAAATAAACAGCAATAAAATCTATTACATGTTCACATAACATTTTTGTGAAAAATGACTATTTTTTAAAAAATGAAAAGAGGGACACTGTTTATTCCTTTTTTGTTAGTGTCTTTCAAGTCTACCCCAAAAGAAGACTGCTGATACTTGTTTTCAGTATATTTTAGGTTACATCTGTGAAAAAATTAAACTCAGAAACATTTAAAAGGAGGGAGTATTTTAAGATAATTTTCAAATAGTTGTGGATGTTATTCTTTGATACTATACCCAAACTGTTGCTTTTTATTGAGGTATGATACACATACTGTAAAATATACTAATTAAAAATTAAAACTTATAGTTTAATCATTTTTAGTAAATTATATTGTAGAGTTGTACAACCATTCCTGCAATCCAGTTTTAGAACATTTGCATCACTCAGAAAAGATTCCTTGTGCCCATTTGCAGTCTCCATACTCATCCCTGCTAATTCCCAACCTACTAATCTACTTTCTGTATAAATTTGCCTTTTCTGTATGTTTCATATCGATAGAATTACACAATATGTGGCCTTTTGTGACTGGTTTCTTTTACTTAGCATACAGTTTCTGAGTTTTATCTATGTTGCAGCATGAATCAGTACTTTTATTCCTTTTCATTACCAAATATTATTCCATTGTATGAATCTAACACATTTTGTTTAGCCATTCATGAGTTGATGAACCTTTGGGTTACTTCTACCTTTTAGCTATTATAGTTAATGTTAACTATTTACATTAATTTATATCCAAATCTTTGTGTGGATATATGTCTTTATTTCACTTGGGTATATAACTAGGAGTATAGCCTTGCTGGACTGTATAGTAAATTTATGTTTTAAGAAACTGCCAAAGTGGCTGCATCATTTTAGTCTCACCAGCAGTGTATAAGGGTTCCAGTTTCTGCATATCTTTGTCAACAGTGGTTAATGTCTTTTTTATTATAGCCATACTAGTACTTACAGCATGGACTCTCATGGTTTTGGTTGGCATTTTTCTGGTGACTACTAATGTTGATCAATTTTTCATGAGCTTAATGGACATTTGTTTATCTTCTTTAGTGCAATGTTTATTCAGATCCTTTGCCTATTTTTAATATTGGGTTATTTGTCTTATTAAATTAGAAGAGTTATAAAACTGTATACAAGTTCCTCATCAGGTTGATGATTTGCATATATTTTCTACTAGTCTGGCCTGTGCTTTCACTTTCTTTTTAAATTTATTTATTTATTTGTTTGTTTGTTTGTTTGTTTTTAGAGAGGGGAAGGGAATGAGAAAGAGAGGGAGAGAAACATCAGTGTGCAGTTGCCGCTTTTGCTTATGGGCACTCACCTTTGTTTCCTAGCCCTTTGTCCTTGAACTGTCCTATGTAATTTTCTATTGTGTGTTATCCTAAATATTTACCAAGCTTTTATTTTTGCTATTTTTCTATAGGGTTAAAAAGGCTATTATTTTTATAACTACTCCATTTTTTCAGGTTCAAGAAAAGGAAGTATTCTCAAGTATAAGCATCCTAATTTATTAGGGGCCTAACAAGTTAACCTGTTCGTTGGGGTAGAGCTGCCACTCTCTCTGGGTTAGGTTAGCCATTACTATTTTAGGTTGGACGGAGGGGTAGATGGAAGAAGAAAATAGTCATAAGGAGGGCTGGGACTCCTCAGTTAGATTGAATACCTGGTAAGTGGGAAGAGAAAGTCCCTAACCTGACAATTTATTGTAAAACATATCTGTGCTAATGCAGGAACTCCGACCCACCTGGTGCAGAGGAGTCTTGTCTTGACCTGCTTTGGGAGAGTGTTGTCTTGATGCTTTTCTCTTCCTCCTTGGAAAACAGCTGAAGAAATCAGGGGAGAAGCCCCTCCTTGGTGGAAGCCTGATGGAATATGCAATCTTGTCCGCCATTGCCGCCATGAATGAACCGAAGACCTGCTCCACCACTGCTCTGAAGAAGTATGTCCTGGAGAACCACCCAGGGACCAATTCTAACTATCAAAGTAAGATTCAAAGTTGTGTGCATTGTACAGGGATTCGAGCAATTGTGGAAAATACCTAGAGATGATGCTACCTATGACAGAAGCACTAGCTGCCGACTGAAAACCAAGAGGGAACAACAACTTGACGAATTTAATGCATTTACTTAAAGAGAAATGGACAAAAGCAAGGCTTACCCTTAATTTACAATGTCTGCTACAGATCAGAATTTGATTTTACTTTGCTGTAAAGATTTTTCTGATATTTTTATTATAACTTAGATAAGTTTCTATGTTCGAAACACCTCTCAACTCCCTGGCTGGTGTGGCTCAGTAGGCTGAGTGCTGGCCTGCCAACCAAAGGGTTACCAGTTCAGTTCCTGGTCATGGCACATACCTAGATTGCAGGCCAGGTATACCCCAGTTTCGGGTATACGGAAAGCAGCTGTGAATGTTTCTCCCTCCCTCCTTCCCTTCTTTTCTCTCTAAAAATAAATAAAATATTTAAGGAAAAAAGTTTTTAAACGCCTCTCAAGTATAGTGTTTTCTTGCTTATTTCTGAATGTTTACCAAAACATCTAATTTCACCTTGAAACCAAACCAGTATTTTAAAATACTTACTGCTTAAGTTATTTTCTGATTGACGTAAGCCTTGTAACCGAAAAAACTTTTTTCATAAAGTCTGTTTACCCAGTCAGTCTAATCTTAAATCTTGTAATTTGAGATTAGAAACCTTGCCTTAGCAGCACTGTCACATACAGATTAATGAGATTGTATGTGTTCCTCAGTGGACTAGAATTAGGCCTGTTGGTGTAGGATAAAGAATATGGGAATGTCAGGAAATGCACACTCTAACACAGGGTTCGGCAGAAGTAAGGCCTGCTTGAGTGTGGTTGGTAGGGTAGTAATATGGATGTAATATTTATAGTTTTAATTGGAACATTCACCTAAAATGTCATATGATGTGCTTCAGTATGGTATTATGGTGTTACAGAACTACATGCTTAGCCCTGGCTGATGTAGTTCAGTGGTTTGAGCATGAGCCTGTGAACCAAAGGGTCACTGGCTCAATTCCTGGTGAGGGTACATGCCTGGGTTGCAGGCCAGGTCCCCAGTAGGGGGGGACACATGAGAGGCAACCACACATGGATGTTTCTCTCCCGATCTTTCTCCTTCTCTTCTCCTCTCTCTAAAAATAAATCAATAAAAGATTTAAAAATAATAATAATAAATAAATTAGATCTTTTAAAAAATAAAAGAATGAATGCTTATGATTTTGTAATGAAATATTTTATAATAAAAAGGGGGTGTTGTTTGTACCTGACCCTGTGTATTAGTTTAAATTAAAAGGTAATTTTGAAATCTCAGTACTGGCTTTTAACATGTACGCAATGTGTATTTTTTAACATTATGAAGGAATGCTTTCTGATTGTTTTCTTCTTACGTACTTTGAAAACTGATGTTTTTGATAAACTTTTCTCCCTTACTTAAGATATATATTGTGTTTAATTGACCCTTACAGACTATGGTTTTCTCTTTTTTCCAAGTGTTAGAAGTTGAAATTGCTTATTAACCTTTTTAGTTTCACTGGTATTGCTGCTCTTTTTTTACACATAGAATCACTATAAAATGTATGAAAGGTGAGAATTAGTGAGGCCTTTAGGAGCCATGGTATTGTTCTGGTACTCTTTGCTGATTCATGAGAAATTGGTTCTGTTTATCTTTTATGGATAGTCTCTGAGATGATTATCTGTTCTTATGGTTACTCAGTAGCTGTTTGAATGAATGGAAATAATGGGAGATTTAATCTGGGTTGAGCTATTAGCCATACATATGCAACTGTGGGCTAGTCACTAGCCACTCTAGACTTTTTTTTTCCCTTTCTATGAAATGAGGAAATTTAACTCAGTGGGTTTCTAAACTCTTAGCCATTATAATTTAACTCTTGCCAAATTTATGGGCCTTAATAATTGTTTAGTGAATCCGCTTGACCACAAAGGATTCTCTTAGAACATGTCAATTACTGTATATGACAGGACATTAAATTGATATATAAGTGATTGTGGTTGAGAGAATTACCAAATTTGAATAACTTTCTTCATTTAAAATTTTTTTTTTTTTCAGTGCATTTGCTGAAGAAAACCCTGCAAAAGTGCGAAAAGAATGGGTGGATGGAACAGATCTCTGGTAAAGGATTCAGCGGTACCTTCCAGCTCTGTTTTCCCTATTATCCCAGGTAAACAAGCACTTAGCCTATAATATGAAGTATTGGTCATTGTAAGTTTAAAATCTGATTCTAGGTCACAGGCTTGGCTTATTTGACCCTTATTACTATTACACTGAACTGGATACTCGAGGTCTGTCCAGAAGGTATCCATCCAGTCTTATAATCTTACAAATACAGACGTCTATTGAAGAAGATAGGAAATGCAAGAAACATTGTACATAGGACACTGATGCCACAGTCCCCTTCAGAGTAGACCTTGGGACCTCACACAGTTCTCCCAGTCACCATCACCTGCCCCATTGTATTTTTCTGAATCTCATCAACAGTCTGAAATCTCTTCCCTTTCAAAGATGATTTTAGTTTTAGGAAAGGCCAGAAGTCACAGGGCACCAAATCTGGGTTTTGGGGGTGCTGAGTCACCTGGATGATTTGATGCTTCGTCAGCAGACTGCGCGAGACGTGATGTGTGAGTAGACACATTGTCATTAAGAAGCTCTCAAATCAGTCATCCATAGCTGCGACCTTCTGAATCATCCAGATAGTTTCCACAGAGGAATGTCCACCCTTACTGCAGATTCAGTGCAGATTTGTCGTTCTGCTTGCTCAATCATTTTGAATGCAATGGCCACACATTACACGTGCTCAACCAGCGGTGTCTACTGCCTCCACTGACTAGTACAGGGAAGCCGTCTTTCTCACACATGCGTTCCAGTCCACGCTCCTTTGCTGTTGTGTTACATTGATGCCGCACAAACCATTCTCATTATGTTAACCGTGGCTGGACATTTTCTGGACAGACCTTGTACTTAAAAATAAAGACTATTTAAGAAGCAGTATTGTTTTAGAGCAAAAGGTTTTTATGTAAGAACAGAGGAATTTTGGCTATCCTGCCAGAGCTTATTATTAGCCAGATGTTCCTGAAATCAAGAATTGAATTCTTTGAAATCGTTGGCTAGTTGTTTTGATGTTTATTCCTTATTTAACAAATATCTTTAATAAATAATTGATAATACAGGAAAGTTATTAGAGGTTTAGTCTATATATGTTTTGGGTGTTCCGCACCAAGTAAGAATATTGGCTTCTTCCAAGAATCCTCATCTGCCTTCTTCATACTGGAGAGATAGGGACATTACTTGAAAAACCTGTCTAATACGTATCATATTTATTTATTGAACAAAAAAATACATTGAGCACTTCTTATGGACCACACATTGTTCTATGCAGCTGTGCTGTAACACTTCTTACACCTTCATTTCTAGTAAGGTCATGACATGTACGTACCACTAAAGCCCTATTTTAGCAGTAAAGTGCTGGTTTTTTCATTCTTTCCATGCAAGCCTAGGTGTTACTGCTTGAATACATATTCTCCAAAATGTTCAAACATTAAACTTTAAATTAGTTCTTAAAGTCACACACATGACATGTCATAAATAAATGATTGAGAGTCAGTTCCATTGAATGGAAGGAGGAAGGAAGTGAGGTATGGTCTGGACTTTTCACAGATTTGTCATGACTTTCTATGTGTTTTCAAAGTAGGTTACATTGTAACCTGATGTTTGTAACCTAAATGTGACGTCTTCGGGGAAGCTCGGAGGAAATGGGGAATAGCGAGGGAATGTGCATCTGGATTCACGTTATTTCCCTTGTCCTGTATGGTACTTCTCTTTACCCAGTCTGGTTCTGTGTTTTGTTTTGTTTGTTTTTTATTTTTATTATTTTTTTTTTCATAGCCCAGGAGTTCTATTTCCAAAGAAAGAGCCAGATGATTCTCAAGATGAGGATGAGGATGAAGATGACTCATCAGAAGAAGACTCTGAGGATGAAGAACCTCCACCTAAGAGAAGGTATGGGTGTGTGAAAACTCAGGAACTTTCTCAGGTTGTTTGTGTAACGTTTGAATTTGTCTTGAAATTTTAGAGGCTCTAGACTTAAGAAATGAAGCGCGTGAATATGTGATTTATGTTTTGGTTGAGCCTGTGTGTTTATCCACAGTTTGGTTATTCAAAGAAAGTCCTGTTTCCTTTTTTTGTTTTGTTTTAAACATATGATTGTATTTTGTGTGGGTTTTTTTTTGGTTTTTTGTGGGGTTTTTTTGTTTGTTTTTTTAGTTTTATTTATTTATCTTTAGAGGTAAAGAACAGGAGAGGGGGAGAGAAATATCAATGTATGGTTGCCTCTCGTGTATCCCCTGCTGGGCACTGGCCTGCAACCCAGGCATGTTCCCTGACTAGGAATCGAACTGCAGTTGTTTGGTTCACAGGCCTGCCCTCAATCCACTGAGTTATACCAGCCAGGGCAAAAGTCCTGTTTTCTTTTCTTTTCCTTTTTTTTTCTTTTCTTTTTTTTTAATGAATGTGTGTAGGTGTGTTTTTATTTATTTTTTATTTTTTTATTATTTATTTATTTATTTGTCTTTAGAGGGGAAGGAGAGAGGGAGAGAAACATCAATGTACGGTTGCCTCTAGTGTGTCCCCTGCTGGGAACTGTCCTGCAGGGAACTGACTTGAAACCCAGGCATGTGCCCTAACTGGGAATTGAACCATGATCCTCTGGTTCGCAGGCCTGTGCTCAATCCACTGAGCTACACCAGCCAAGGCTATAAAAGTCCTGTTTTCTTAAGAAAAACCTCATGAAGTTTATTTATATATAGACTTCCATGAATTGGTTGAATTTTACACAATTTTAGTAAAGTCTTTAGTTAAAAAACAGTAATAAATTACATTTCTAGGCTTATCACAGGTGACTTCTAAATAGTCTGTTTCTTTTTTTGGTAAAATGTTGGGTCATCTTAGCAAAGTGACCCTCTCAGGTGCTGAGTGACCCCCTTTGCTCTCTGGTTCATAGGTTGCAGAAGAAAACCCCAGCCAAGTCGTCATGGAAGGCTGCACCCATGAAGCAGAGAGGGTCCAAGCCTGGACCTAAAGTCCCAGCTGCCCAGCGAGGGAAAGCGAGGCCCCTGCCCAAGAAAGCCTCTCCCAAGGCCAAAACTCCTGCCAAGAAAGCCAGACCCTCACCCTCAGTCATTAAGAAACCTAGTGGTGGCTCTTCAAAGAAGCCTGTAGCCAGTGTGAGGAAGGAAGTGAAGTTGCCTGGCAAGGGCAAATCCACCGTGAAGAAATCTTTCAAAGCAAAAAAGTAAATTTTATAGGAAAGAAGGGTATTGTGATGAAGTTTAAAATCTTATTTTCTAAGGTCGGTGTGCATTTGTTTTAGTTTTGATGCTTTTAAAATACATTTTTCCCTCCCCTCTAAACTTGTGAGGAGGGAATAGAAATAAACCAGTTTAGGTATTTGTTAGCTTTAGGCACTGTCTTTGGTGCCTGCCCCTTCCCGCTGTCATTTTAATTTCTGCAATAATTCTGGACTTTCCTGAGCTGTATAACCTACACTGTCCTTTTTCTCCCTCCACCCAACCCTTTTTTTTTTTTAAATTTCTTCCAGCTTTATCTAAACAGTTGCAAAGATTTTTATATTTGTAGAAAGCATCGAGAACAGAATGCTGGTCAGGTGCTGAAAGAGAAAAGAAGGCATATAGCACTGACTGAATTATAAAGCCTTCTTCCTGGAGACTCCAGCTATAGCTATAATAATTAATCTTATTTATAAAACCACTCCACTAACCCTTTCTCTCTCACTATAAACACAGAGATGTCTTAGCTTTGGGAATAAGCCAAAAATGTTATGGTTTAATTAGATTCTGAAGATGCACGACTCCTTTGGGCCACTTTTCACATCGATCATTTACAGGTGGTACCTTTCTCTGGCCCAGGGCATTCCATTCCCTTACCGGTGAGCACAAGTTCTCTCCGCCATTGGTTTCTGACTGAAGAGGAAATAAGAGAATATTGAATTTGTGATTTCTGGTGTCACCTGTGTTAGCAAAACTCAAAACATAAAATCTTGATCAAATGTTTAAATATATTTTTTAATATTGGGAGCATGAATTCTCACTTCTCATTTGTCTTTTTTTATAAGGAAATGTTGGAGAGTTACATGATTGCTAATGTGGAAATGTTAAGTGGAAAAACAAACACTTTGCAAAATAAACTTGATTCCAGATCCATCGTGGGTTCTTTTCCCCTCCTTCCTTTGCTTAGCACTTTCAATATCAAGCAAGTGGCTTCCTTTTTGAGACTTTTTTTTTTTAAAGAAATGAAATGAAGCCCAACTACCTAATCTCTTATTTGTATTTGTTTTAGTATTGTGAAGTTGTGTTAAATAGTACTGGCTTTCTACTTGAGAAATACTGATTTTTGGTTACCAGTTATCCTCCCTATGGCACTTGACATTTTAATTGTCTTAAACTATTTGGTGTACGTCTTCTGGCCCGTGTGCTGCCAGAAGCACAAACGGTTTGTTTCATTCATTCCACTTGCGTTGTCTCCTGGGATCCCATCTGCAGCCTGAAGCATGGCTGGGAAATGGACTTGAGAAGGTTGGCTTGAATTAGATTCATAATTATGTGTGGTCCCATCATGAGTTCATTGGAATTTGTGTTGCATGTAAGGCAATCTTTCCTGTTGTAAATCTTCCTTTTTTTATGTACATATATTTTGAAAAATATGAATAAACATGAAATTTTAAAAGCTGCTGAACTGTAGCTTTACATTTAAGTTTCTAGTATATTTTCAGAAGTAGCTAAGTGTTAACTCTCACTTTGAATCTTTTCCACTCCTTGCAATAGCGACCATCCATTTCCTTTTTAAATGCAAGCTCTAGTTTATGTGCTTCTTACATGGATGATAAATGATTTTTTTTGATACATTGAATTGACTATTTGGTGAATAAGAGGTTTAAAAAATCATTTTGTATTTTAATAAGATCCTTGCCTTCTAGATCATAGATTCCAGCTTTCCACGCTTAATTTCAGCTGTCTCTTTATACTAGAAGAATACATCACTGAGACCTAAATCTAGAAAGTAATTCTGTCTCTTACCCACTTTGGCAGTTAGTAAATAATTCTAATAATATAGCTCTTAGGTGCCTATGCTAAGAATTCTCTGCTCTTCTGGAATCAAAAGTAAGGTTTTTGGTTTGTTTCTGTTTTATGATGCTTTTTAAAAAGATTTTATTTATTTTTAGAGAGAGGGGAAGGGGAAGAGAGATGGAGAGAAATACCAATGTGTAGTTGCATCTCACATGCCTCCTAATGGGGACCTGGCCCGCAACCCAGGCATGTGCCCTGACTGGGAATCGAACGGGCAACCCCTTGGTTTGTAGTCCTGTGCTCAATCCACTGAGCCACACCATCTAGGGTTTATGGTGCTGCATCTAGGGTTTAAAAAGATTTTGGGAACAGGTCACCTGGTGACTACATTGCCCATCAAGTGCTTCAGCACAGGGTGAGAAGTTTAGATTATTTAAGGTCCCTTCCAACTCACATTCAGTTAACTTCACAAAGTTCCAGTAAGAACAAAACTGTCCTGCTTAAGCATCATGTACAGAGAAGGGACGAGGGCCAATGCACTGTTCCAGTGAAAGCCGGCCGTCCATTATGTGTACCTTCATTCACTTAGGCCGAGATAAAGAAATGTTTGGGGTTTCCCCCTTCGGGCATTATTTCTAAAGAAGCTGAACACACAGTTTTTACTTTCCTGTTTACAGAAAGGAAGACAGAAAACCCAAGAGATAATACTAGCTATTTCTAGTATGGATCAGTGGCTTCAGTACTCTCCATAGTGGCTTCGTGAGCTCACTGACAGTGTTTGATAAACTCTTACACCACTTAGAAACCACCTTAGATGAATGCATCTTAGAAAGTGCTGGGAGAGAGGTCGTTGGCTTCTCAACCTACAAGATGCAGAAAAGGGTGATTTGTAGAAAACATGGAAACCTTTCATTATGTCTGATGGGTATAATTAAGAGTACATGAACACAAAAGCTAGGTAACATGTTAATACCTTTGACAATTTTTCCATCATTCCTCTTAGAAAATTTTGTCAACCCTAGTCCAGGTTTGCTAACCTGTTCTTATACTCTCTTATACCTACTTTTGAAAACCTACATAATTATTTTGCTTGGGTTCAGATCTGATATGGCAGAAGAGGTTAAGCCAGACATACTCATGAACCTCTGTGTTTAGCCAACTAATAGAGACTAAAAATTTAGGGATATAGTACTTAAAATGACTCATTTTTAAAGGCTGAAAAATCAGATTAATTTCCTAATTTCTCTTTGGGTTAAATAAAAACTCAAACTTTATCCATGAGAAAAGAGGAAATTCTATTCTTAATTAGAAAAAGACCGTCATTAACTAATAATGCCTTAGTGGTTCTGATAGACATTACTTCCCAGTGTGCAGAACACTTTTGCCTTTCACAGTAGGTCAGATGGTCACTCAATTCTACAGAGCTGAAGCTAAACCAGAACTGCTAGAGACCTTGGCTTAACTACTTGGCAAAGATGGGCTTGGAAGCCATCAGAGATCGATAAACAGTATTTCTCCTGGCAGTGAGTTTTTCTTTATGAAGAAATTAATCTCAACCACCTTTATTACTGTATTTTTCCCTTCTATCATTTTCTTCACAGTTCTTAACTTCAGTGGCTCTTTTTTTTTCTGTTGGGGAAATTTCTAGCTTTGATTATTTAAACTAATTAGTTTTTTTTAGTAAGGTAGCTTTTTAAAAAGATTTTATTTATTTTTAGAGAGAAAAAGAGGAGAGAAACATTGATCGGTTGCCACTCTTGAACATGACAACTGGGGACCGGGCCCACAACCCAAGCACCTGCTCTAACTGGTGATGGAACTGGCAACATTTCACTTTGTGGGAAAAGCTCAGCCAGTTGAGCCACAGCAGTCAGAGCTAAATCTAATAGTTTTAACTGTTCCTAGTTTGTTTCATTGACAGCTGGTATATCGCCCGGCTGCATAGCTTGGTTAGAGGGTCTTCCTGATGATACACCAGGATTGTAGGTTTGACCCCCAGTTGGGGTGCATGTAGGAATCAACCAGTGAATGCATTACTAAGTAGAACAACAAATCAATGTTTCTTTCTTCCTCTCTCTAGAATCAGTAAATGAATTTAAAAAAAAATAACTGCTGTATCAAAGGCTTCAAAAGGTATCTTCTCAAGCCGTTTCAAAAATTGCAGCTGTTGATAGTGTAGGTAAGTGTATAATTAATTACTTGCTTAGAAAAGTCTTAGAAAAGAACTTCATGGTGCCTTGAATATGTTTGATAAAATGTAGCTGAAAGTTTGCATTACTTAAATAATAACAGTGATAATAATAGCTAACCCTGGGTTTCTTCTGCATGTCAGGCTCTGTGTGTACATTGTCTTGTTTAATCCAAGCACCCCTATGAGATGGTCATTGTTAATTATACTGAAGGGAAAACAGGCACAGATTGAGGCTCCAAAACTTGCTCCAGGTTGTAGTAAGTGGTAAACCCAGGAACTGAACGCAGAGCCATGTCCAGTGATCTGCTCGACTACCTCCCCTTGGTGATTTTTCAGGCTCCTGAATTCTCTCCTTATCCTACAGTCCAGTGACTCTGTGTTCTGTTCATGGGAAAGAAAGGACTTCTGTAAGATTGCAGAGAATTCAGAGATGAGAGGAAATCATTAAGTTTGCTAATAGTAGTCAGAATGTTTTTTTCTTTCTTTTTGATTTTTTAAAATATTTTTTTCTATGTAGAAAAAACTAGAAATGCCTATTCTATATATTCTTTTTTTTTTTTTTTTTTTTTTTTTAGATTTTATTTCTTTAGAGGGGAAGGAAGAGAGGGCGAGAAATAATGTGTGGTTGCCTCTTGTGCGCCCCCTGCTGGGAACTGGCCTGCAACCCAGGCGTGTGCCCTGACTGGGAATCGAACCACTATCCTTTGGTTCGCAGGCCCACACTCAATCCACTGAGCTACACCAGCCAGGGCTTCTTTCTTTTTTATTTAATCTTTATTGTCTTTTTTTCATTACCATTTAGTCCCCATATACCCTCTTCCCACCCCAGCAACCACCACACTGTTGTCCAGGTCCATGAGTCCTTTTTCCTTTTTGCTCAATCCCTCCACCCCCGCACCGCAGCCCACTGGCTGTCATCCTGCTCTCCATCTAGGAGTCTGTCACTGTTTTGCTTGTAGTTCAGTTTGTTCACTGGATTCCACATACGTGTGAAATCACATGATATTTGTCTTTCTCTGATGGGCTTATTTCACTTAGCATAATGTTCTTCAGGTCTATTCATACGGTTGCAAAGGGTAAACTTTTCTTCCTTGGGTCTGGGTAAGTATTCCATTGGGCAAATGTCCCACAGTTGTATCCACTCATCTATTGATGGACACTTGAGCTGCTTCCATTATCCTGGTGGTTGTAAATAACCCTGCGGTGAACATAGGGCACTTAGGTTCTTTCAGATTAGTGTTTTGGGTTTCTTCGGGTATATTCCCAGAAGTGGGACCACCAGGTCAAGAGGCAGACCCATTTTTAATCTTTTGAGGTATCTTCACATTGCTTTCCACAGTGGCTACACCCGTCTGCATTCCCACCAGCAGCAAAAGGCTTCCCCTTTCTCCACATCCTCACCAGCACTTGCTGATGATGGCCATTCTGACAGGTGTGAGGTGATACTTCATTGTGGTTTTAATGTGCATTTCTCTGATGATTAGTGACATTGAGCATCTTTTCATGTCTGTTGGTCATCTAGTTTTTTTGTTGTAAGCAGCATGGTAAGAACTGTTAGAATTAGATCCTGGGTTACTAGGCTGCCCTAAGTTCTGGGGGGGGGGGGGGGGGGACTCTGCACGGGTACTGGGTCATGCACACCACCTAGCCAGGAGCACTTGCTGGCATCCTCACGTTTCACTTACCACACGGAGATTCTTTGAATGCATGGGATGCTGATGCTTGGGCCAGCTTCTCCTCCAGAGCCTGCGACTTCTGTCAGAACTTTTCATGTTGCTGAGTGAGCAGCTTCCTTACTCCTGTAACCTGGGAACTCGTGGTTGGTGAGGCCTACCAAGCGACATTCCGCAGCACAATTGTCTGAAAACTGAATTTTGGGGACGTGAAATCTGTTCAGTAATTGTGAGCTGGAATATTAGAAATCCTTGCTTGTATACTCACAATTCTGAAAGAAACCTTACTCATCCAGTCTCCCCTGTCTTCGTTCAATGCCAAAGGATACATTTTCCTAAAACCCAGAGTGACACACATCCTTACTCATCCACTGTACCGATTAAGCACTCTGAGGAAGTTTTCCTTATATCCAGCCTAAACCTTTCATGTTACTTATTCGTTTAATTTAAATTTGCTGATATTGTGTATAGAATAAAGGTTTTGTCAATTCCAAATTGAGATTGAATCCTGGTTCGAACACATCACTCCGGGCAGTATTCTGTCTATAGCTATGGTCCCATGCAGTAATCCTGGGAGGCTGTGTCACTTACCAACTGTGGGACCTTAAAACCCGAGGCTCTTGATCACCCCAAGCCTTGATTTCCTCATCTGAAAGGGGTTCGAATGCACAGTTTTTTTCTTTTTTAGAATAACCATCCAGAGGCAGTGTGAGACTCTCACGTATCAAAGATTGAATCATGTTCACTACATTGTTACTAAGGCATTTTAGGATTTCGGGAAAAATGATTTTCTTTAAATAAATGAGCCAGAACACCCAGTTT